TGCTGGCTGGGGAATTCTGGGAGTTGAAGTCCACTCATCTTAAAGTGGCCAAGTTTGGACAACACTGGTCCAGGGGGATGATGTTCCAGAGGGTCGGTGCCCAGGCAGAAAAAGCTCCCTTCCTGGATCCTGCCAGATGACACTTTCATAGACGGGACCATAACATGCCTCACCTGCTGGTCCTGATCGGCCGGGTAGATGACACCCGGGAGGCAGTCTTGAGCTCCGGTGACTACAGGGCCATGCCCATTCTTCCAAGTGATGCTACTCCATCTCGAGTGGGGGTGGGGATGTGTGTGTGTGGGGGGGATTATTCATGTAGCAAACGCAGGATATTCTCTGCTCCACCGCACGATTAGGCAGCGTTTCCTCAACAGTCTCCCGCGGGGATAGGTTTTCTCTTACTCATAAGGCAACAGTCTGTTCGTGAACCAGTCCATCTGGAAACATAATTATATCAGACGACTAAAGTATTTACTGGGAGTTCACTGGGATTCAGATTTGAGTAAGCACGTTTAGGACGCTTCTTAACCAGATTAAAGGTTTTGAAATGATTGTGCTGCCACGACGACGACTAGGTTGATGGTTGATGAAATACGCCTGGAAAGGTCCCGTCCTATCGAAATCATTAATGCAACTCTTTCGACAACAAAGAAACAGAAGCAAGCATGCCTTTTCCTGGCAACGCCTCGAATTTCGCAATCCGCTCCTCACCGGGACTAAGCGCTGCGCCGGCTGGCAAAGAGGAGGAGCGAGGCGCGGGAGGAGCCGCGGAGGCGCTCCTAGTGCAGCAGGAGGAGCCAAACGGCTGGGGAAGGCGGAGAGCCGAGCAAAAGCGCCGAGCAGAGGGCGCGGCGGAAGACTCCGCTGGCGCTGCCCCCCCGCCGCGCCGAGTCCCGGAGCGCCGGGGCGCGTGAAGCAGGGACAGGTCGGCGATGGCGTCCATGGCGGCGGCGATCGCTGCCTCTCGCACGGCGGTCCTGAATGGGAACCGGCCGCTGGACGAGCGGGAGCGCAAGCGCTTCAGCTACTTCTCGTCGCTGAGCCCCATGGCTCGCAAAATCATGGCGGAGAAAGAGCGCATCCGCGAGCGCTACGGGCCGGACTGGGAGCAGCTGCCGCCCCGCCAGCAAGACGAGATTATTGACAAAAGCCTGGTGCAGCCCCACATCCAGGCCCGGTACGCGGCTCACCGAGGGGCCGCCCGGGCCAGCCCGCCCCCGGTCTGCTACCCGAATCTGCGCCTCAATACCGGCCAGAAGGTCGTGCGCTTCGGGGACGAGGTAAGCGGGTCAGTCGCGCTCTGCACGTGTACAGGGGCGAGCAGCGTACTGCGTTTTCTTTCTGGGCCCGGCTCGGACGGGCCTCTTGAAGCAGCCGTGAGTCACCTTTGCGTTGAGGTGGGAGAGGGTGGCGGCAAGGAAAGGCGGACAAGAGGTAAAGAAACGCAAGGCAAGATTTTAAAAAGGGCTAAAAGTGTCTGGGAGGAAGGCCTTTCTTTGACACATGTGCAGAGTGCCGTTTTCCTTTTATCTTTAGACATACCCGGCGCCTATAGTAAAGTTAATTGGGCCGACGTCGGCGTAGGTAGGCAACAGGCATGATTTCGCTTTAGCCTGGAGCTTTCCGGTCTTCCCCTGACCAGGTCCAAACACGGTGGAGACGGTTTTCTTCCAAACTCAGTTCTGTGGGCACACTTCGACCCCAGTCCCTCTGTGTTCAGTCGGGTTTATTCAGCTGGAAGAGCGCACCCACAGTGCTGTGATAACTTCTGGAGTCTGTAGGTTACAATTGTTTCCTTTCTGCCTCTGCAGGAATTAAAATTACTCTGGATTTCCAAGAATGAATAAATACAGGAGGAATAACCCTCACAGTTTTTAACTATTTACCCCCCTTCCTGTTCCTTTTGTTATTGGTGAACCTTACTATTTATCACACTGGGCTTACTTTTTTGAGCAGCCCAGTGATAGTTGTCGCCGCTAATAAAATACACTATTATTTTACTGTGAAAAGGGGAGTGCATGAAATCTAACAAAAACACTGGCAACGGTCAGGACGCTCAGGGTAATTTGCCAGGGCTGCACTGTCTTTCCAAACTAGGTATGTGTTCAAGAACTGCCACTTCTTCCTGAAAAACAGGCTAGTTTGCATGTCTGAATCCAAGCCTAATTTAGGGATGATGAACTGGGGCAGACCTTTGACACCCTTAGAGTTTGCTTGCTTCTTATTTTGATGGAGGGGAGGAGAAGCAAACTTTTGACGGCCAATCTCCTGGCTCCCAAAGCCAAGTTATCAAATCAGAAGGGGGGACTGCCCAGCAGTTTCTTTTCACACTGACTTCAGTTCAAGCAGCGAGTGCTATCTCTCCATCTGACTGGATTACATTCCAGGCACAGATACAACAGAAAACCCTGCATATTGCTATTGCTATGGCTGTCAAAGTAGTTTTTAATCCTTTCCCTGCCCATCTTAATATAATGTAATATTTGATATTGATATTATTATATGTATCAGATTTGCTTTGTTGTGGTTTGCACTGTGTTGTTTTCCCCAAAAGAGAATCATGTGATGGAAAGCTAGGTAGTCTTTCTCAGCCTGATTAGGGAAGGCTGGCGTATGGTTCATGCCCTACACTCCTGTAGTGTGGAAATTAGAGATTTGCTAAGCTTTCACTGAGTGAAAGTCACTCTCTCTCAACCCAGTTTATCTTAAAGGGTTGTTATTGTCAAAAGAAAATTAAAGGAGAATCTCTTAGAAACTGTCTTGAACTCTGCAGAAAAGGTGAGATAGGTAAAATATTTATATTTATATAGAGATATAATATGTAGATATAGATAGATATAACATGCATATTTATATAATAAATATAAACTAAGAGCAAGTATAAATGGTCATTACTTAGTAAAAATATTTTACAGTTGTGTAAACTGTATTTTCTGCTAACAGACTTAATGTTTCTTATCTTTCATTTTACACAATTGCTTTTCTGTGTCTCCATTTGGATGCATTTAGAAATCTATAGGGTTTTTCTTTTCTTTTTTAACAGAGAGTAGACAGTATAATGCCGCTGGGTACCACTGTCTGCCTTTCGGCTCCTTCTTTTGGCATTCAGCAGGCTCACTTCTCTATCTGACTTTTAAAAGATTCTTCTAGTTTAAAAAAATAGGAAGCTGGCACTACCCTCAAATATTATTCATAAGAATGCCTCTAGGATCCACATAGACTCCATAAGTAATCTTAGAAAATAAAAATGGTGGCCAGCTACAATCAAGTATTTGCGCACCTCTCCAGAAAAAGGCAGAAGTATGAGGTGCTAAGGAGTACCCTGAACAGGAAAGATGGAGGAGATGGAAGAAGGCAGTTTCTGAACAGTAAATTCTCCCCAGGAGACCAGCCATGGCATACTCTGAAAATTCTAAATCTCCCCACAGAATTCATATATTGCAGAGTCTTTGATAAGCATCAGGGTGCCTCAGGAGTCTTCATCTTTTCTGCAGCAATAGGCTAATGGGATTGTCCAGAATAACTATATTCCAAGACATTAGGTACTTCAGACTTGATTCAAGATAACTTGGCGGCAGGGTCGGGGGGGGGCTCCTTTGCATTTCAAAACAGCCTCTCCCAATCTGGTCATGCTGGCTGGGAATTCTGAGAATTACAGACCACAAACATCTGGAGGACACGAGATTGGGGAAGGTTCTTCTAGTGAACTCTGTGCTTCCCCAAATGCCTGTTTAAAGCATACAGTGATAAGTAAGAGCCCTGTGCATATTTTTGTTGCACCGATGAAGATCTCCTTCTAGTCTTTAAGGGATAGAAAGCCAAGAAGAATGGTACAGTTAAAAATAATTGGAAAGAATGCTAAAGAACAAAAGGCAGTACTTAACGTAGCCTGCATATTCATCCACAAGAATAAAAAATATATAAAAAAGGTCTGCAAACAGCTAACTTGTTAACAGCAGGTGGTAGGAAGTTACTGCTAAAATTAGCATTGAGGAATTGTTTACATTTGACTACAGGAAACTGGCAATCCTTTTTGTGCTTCTCCCGCAAAAAATCTTGGAGCAATCATGAATGTTCCAGGTTTGGATATTTTTATAACACCTTCTAAAAATGTAAGTCAGGTTTTCCACTGCTACTGCTGAAGTGGGAAGACCAAGGGTGTGGAAAATAAGTTGCAGTGCTCTGAAGTGGAAGGTTTTTTTAATTGTTCCCAGTTTTTCATATTTGATACTTGTGCCATAGCCTTTGGAAAAGGGAAAGAAATTGCCTCTTAATAAAATAGAATGGTCTCAACATGCTTACCTAAAAGACATGAGCATAGCTGCTGAGATATAATAGGAACAGTATGTCAATGTTTACTTTGATCATTTAGGACAACCCTGTGGTGTCCAGAGGAATTCTGAGAGGCCATTGTCTCAACTTGGTTTCCCCATTCATGTAAAAAACTAATCTTCTGAATGTTTCACTGTACGGGTAGTCCTTGTTTAGTGACCGCAATTGGTACCGGCAACTCGGTCATTAAGCAAAGTGGTCGCGACTGTGGTTATGATCTTACTTCAGCTCTCTTTTGCTTTACAGACCTGCAAAGGTCGTAAATGCAAGGATTGGTCATAAAGTTACTTTTTCATCACTGTCATAACTGCGAATGGTCACTAAATGAGGCAGTCAGTAAATGAGGACTACCTGTATAATATTGGGATCAAGTAGAACCTGATTTAACTGCAGTTGGCATAAGTGCTTAGATTGTTTTAAAGTTTTAAAAGATTGAAACATTTAGGTAAAAATATAATTCCTGTACTTTTAATCTCCTGTTTGAAGAATCTGTTTAGAAATGTAGTATATAGGTATTAATCTTTTGTATTTCTGAAGCAAGTCAGTAGTGTTGAGCTTTTTTCCCCTTTGCTACCAAAAATTTTGAATCACATTCCTTATAATTTCTCAGAATTCCATTTCTGATTCTACAAAGTTTTGAATATTTGTAACAGGAAATAGAACTTTGAATTTGCTTGCATCAGGTTGGTATTTCCTTTGTCTTCATTTTTTTTTTACAATTTGTTTAAATTTTAATATCTAACAACAAAGTTTCTGCAGCCAAATTAAAACCATTTTCAAATACCATGTGGCTGGAGATTCTAGATTAAAATCAGAAACATCAGTTAACCTCTCCAAATAGAAACCTTTTATCTGCAAAAGAAAAGAAAAGAGTTTGACCTCCTCCAGTCTTCACAAGAAATCTGCCATTTAACTTGCAGTAATAAGTTTGCATCCATCCTCTGGTAGGTGTATTGACCTTCCTTTCAAGTTTAAAACTTTGGAAGTAGTCAAAGAACTTGTTCGCTTCCTGGCTTCAAATCTGGCAGGAAGTTTGGTTTCATTACTTAGACCTGCAGACAGTATTGCATTAGAGTAGCCACATTTACAAATTCCCTGTGGATATTGCCTTAGTTTTTGGGGTTGTATTTGTGTAACAAATAATCTTGGAGATTATGAGATGATTGTAATGTCTTACTTCCATACTTCATGTTTGGCACACTCTTAGATTATCTTTCCCAGAAGTAAAAGAATAAAGGAACTATTTTTATGAGTTACATACAAGAAATACTTTAGTCTGCTTTTCCAACAAATCATACCTTCACCAAACAAAATCTTTCCCATTACGTCGATAAAGAGCCACTTCAAATACAGAAAGCAAACACCTATGTGTAACCTAGGGTTATAAATCATGCAATATCTTATCAACATTGAAAAGTCATCTTTTTTGTTGTCCTCTCTCCAGCTCAAAAAATTTGTAATTCTTGATATAAAATTTCATATTTTTGGTATATGATTCACAACTTTAAATTGTATTGATGTTTGGGCACATCGACAGCTGGTTTGACAAGCTTCCCTCCAGTCCACATGGTGACACAAAGTATGTCAACTTAGCCAAAACGCATCTTTCTTCTTGCATCCTCATTGGTGTTGGTCCTCCTTGGTTGCAAGGACATCTTGTTTGAACTGTGCCTGCCTTGTTCACTCAACAAAGACATCAGGGCATGATGTGACAAGGAGATTGTTTTTCAGCCGGCTTGTTGCAGAGCCTGATCCTGTCTTGGGATGAAAGAAAGTGACCGGCCCAAGGTCACACAGCTAGCTTCAGTGCCTAGGAAAGGCCTAAAATCTCGTTCTACCTGCTCCTAGTCCAGCACCTTAACCACTAAACGCTGGCTCTGTCATAGTCAAACTCAAGTATGCCTTATTTATTGATGCTGCTGAAAAGTGCTGTTGTAACAGTTTACAC